CCAAAAAAACCAACATAACTAAATAATTTTAAAAAACATTGAAATATCCTTTTTTTTAAATATCGTATTTATATTTAATTGATCATCATTAATCAGTCTCCTTCTCCCTCTTAGTCTTTAGTTTTAGTTAGAGTTTTACGGCTCTTGCAACACAATAAGGTCATATAAGTGCCGAGATTAGAGATGTTACAAGAGAGTAACAAACGCTAAAAAGAAAGAGGGGAGATAAAGACGACAGACGTTTGATAGGAAAGAAGGAGCAAACCACACCAGAGCACCCGCCAACCATCCATTTTCACTCAGTAAGTTACTAGACAAAGACAAAAACCAGCAAAAAAAACACCCAACAAACTTACTTTGAATTTCTATGGCAGTGTTAAGAGTGTCAATAGCGGGCTGACAAGGACTTCTCTTCAGTTCTTCGTCTCGGATAGGCGGCAGCTGTGAACATAGGAGACACAGAATAAAACACTTGTCCAAGACTTAAACAAAAAAAACCCATGAGGATTGTAATCCCGTACATATGGTTTATAAGATAAAAGTCCTTTTGAAACTACTTTGGATCCTACCCCTCCTATTCTTTTAGCATTTTAGTTTTACTAAGAGTTTTACGGCACTTGCAACACAATAAGGTCATATTCACATAAGTGCCGAAGATTAGAGGTGTTACAAGAGTGTAACAAACACAAAAAAGGAGAGAGATCAGGACAATAGATGTTTGATAGGAAAGAAGGAGCAAACCACTCCAGAGCACCCGCTGACCCCAGCACTGACCCTGGATGGTGTGCACCATGTTAAACAGTTTGAAGTGTGTGTGTGTGTGTGTGTGAGTGTGTGTGTGTGAGTGTGTGTGTGTGAGCATGTGCGCGCGAGTGTGAGTGTGTGTGTGTGTGTGTGAGAGTGTGTGTGAGTGAGCGAGTGACTGAGTGTTTGTGAGTGTGTTCGCGGCGCGCGTATGTGTGTGTATGTGTGTGTGTGTGTGCGAGTGTGTGTGTGTGTGTGTGTGTGTGTGTGTGTGTGTGTGTGTGTGTGTGTGTCTGCGAGTATGCGTGCGTGCGCAAGTCTGTGCATGCGCACACGTGCAAGTGTGTGTGTGTGTGCCCACATGTGTGCATGCATACGTCCAACTATACTTTCATACTGTCACTACTAAACAGAGCAGCACAACGGGCCACACTTTACCTCGTCGCCCAAAAGGGCCCGGACGGTCAGCTCAGCCGACGCGCAGATACTGGGGATGTCGTAGCCCCCCTCCAGCGCCAGGACGATCTTCCCGTTGGCCAGTGACATCAGTTCCCGTGTCATGTGTCCAAAACCTGCGTGGAACAAAACAACGACTTTTAGTTTTTTAGCTTTGGTTGGAGTTTTACGCCATTTGCAACACAAATAGAAAAGAAGGAGAGACAAGAACAGTAATTATTTTAAAGAAAAGAAGGGGGCATACCACATCATGTTTTATTGTTTTAGTTAGGTTTTACAGCACTCGCAACTGCATAAGGTCATATGAGCGCCAAGGGGTGGATGCCAACAGAAGATTCCAAACGCGAAATCAGGCTTACTCTGCTCTCCTCTCTAGCCTCAACAGCACAAAGTCTGCTTCGACTATCAAGGCACCACAGAAATAGCAGTTCACAAGAGAGTGACAAACATACAAAAGAAGTAGAGGAAAATGACGATAGTAAAGACTCAGAAAGAAAAAGCAGCAGTTCCCCGTCTGTTGGAAACAACCCAACGTATTTTTAGTTTTAGAAATGTTTTATGGCACTTGCAACACAATAAGGTCATATAAGTGCTAAAGATTAGAGGTGTTACAAGAGAGTAACAAACACAAAAAAGAAGGAGGGGAGATAAAGACGATAGATGTTTGATAGGAAAGAAGAAACAAACCACATCAGAACATTCGCCAACCACCCACCAGTACAAAGTGATTCATGAAGCGAAATGTAAGATTTCCTTCCATGAGGGGGGAGACAACGACGACACACACACAACCTAACATACAACATAAAGGTCAACAAGCTAAAGTGCACAAGGGCAAGAGTGAGCACTACTTGCACGTACATTCCGGGGACAGCTCGTATCCTCCCAGGGCCGTGGCATGACCCTTGGCGGCATCGTAGCCCGCGGAGACCAGAACACACTCCGGGTTGAACTCTCGGGCAATGGGCATCACCATGGTTCTGTCAGCATACGGAGAAAACGGGGACATGTCACTCACAGCTCTACACTTTCTCTACTTAACAATGATAATAATAATAATAATAATAATAATAATAATAAATAATAAGACCAATGCATCTGCAGATGAGAACATTATTATTAAAGCAAAATAAAAGAATCAAAGGTTGAGAAGGCCTTCTCACTCGTATGTCAGTTCTTGTATTGAAAACACACACACACACACGCCACCTTCTTTTAAAAAATTAAAAGAAAAAAAATAAAATAAATATTAAATAAAATTTTTAAATTTTGAAAATAAAAAGCCACAAAGCTCTCCCAAAAACAAAAAACAATTTCAGCAAATCATAATTCCTGAGCGAAATTAAACTGAGGGCCAAAGTAAAATTCTTGTGGAGAAATGACCAAACTCAATGTCTTTAATATACAAGTTCCTCTCACATGCTCAACATAGCCGTTCCACTCACCTGAAAGCGGCCAGATACTCGGCGTCTCCCATTGGAGGGTTCAGACTGCCACCGAAGGCGATGTTCACGTTGAAGCCCGTGCCCGCCCCCTCGCCACACTCCTCTGGCGCCCCGGTGCCAGGGAAAAAGTTGCCATTGTCATGGCGATGAATAGATATGTACAGAATGTTGGGGTCATCGTAGAGCATCTTCTGAGTTCCGTTGCCATGATGCACATCCTGTAAAACAAGAGTTGTTTTTTTTAAAATCTTTCGGCCTTAGAAAATACAAGAACTACCTCCTGTTTTAGTTTTAGTAGAGGTTTTACGGCGTTCGCAACTGCATAAGGTCATATGAGTGCCAGAAGATAAGAGCTATTACAAGAGAGTAACAAACATAAAAAAAGAAGAAAGGGAGATATGGACGATAGATGTTTGGTAGGAAAGAAGAAGCAAAACACACCGGAGCACCCGCCAACCAACCACGAACTATCTCCCTGGCGATGAACAAACTCTCTCACACAAAGACGAACACAACAGCCACATTGTGCTGTCTTCTCTCATCACGTTAACAATACAATAAGGTAGTCTCCGCCTAAGATCCCGGTGCTCGGGAACAAGGAAAAAGCGGGATTTTAGGCGAACTGGGATCTTAGCAAACGAACCCAGAGTAGAATCTACTGTGACCCATGTTCAAGCTCACAATCAGTAAAATGGTCTTCCTCCACTCTAAAATGAATTGACGTGACTCCTGGGTGGGTTTAATAATAGATAATAATAGATAGCATTTGTATAGCGCAAATCCCCGCTCAACAGCAAGCTCTATGCGCTTCACAATCTATACTAGTACCCCAGCAGACCTGAGAGAATTCTGAAACAACCTCAATTTCCTGGGAAGCATACAGTGCAAGCATCCATTTATATGCGCTAAAACACAAACATACTGACAAGATCTTTCGCTGTCAATGGCCACGTACATATTTCCACCTGGCTGAAGTGAGGAAAATTCGTGTAAAGTGCCTTTCCCAAGGACACAATGTCGGGCCCGCGGCTCGAACCCCTGAACACGCAACCTCAAGATTACGAGTCCGGTAGCCTAACCATACCAGAGCACCCGCCAACCACTCACATTGGAGTTGAGATTTGACCCCTTTGCCACAAACGTACTACAGTGACTACCAACAACAAAAGTTCTCGTCAAGCACAGATCACTTACCCAGTCCACAATAAGGATTTTCTGAAGCTTCCTCTTTTCCTTCAGCTGCTTGGCTGCTATGGCAACAGAGTTGAAGTAGCAAAAACCCCTGAAAGACAAGTTGGCGCAAGTTGGATCATATTATACTAGAGCTGGGTACTTCAGTTCTACTGTACAAAACAACTTGACTCGTTCTAGAACAGTTTCTACTGAAACTCAAGACAAAACTACCAAAAACAAATCCCCAAAATATGTTCCCTCACCATGGTATTTCTGTCCAAAATATGAATAAAGGCAGCTTGTCTTAAAAAGGCATTACCACTGAAAATCTTTAAAATCATCCTTCCAAAAGATTTAGATGTTATCCAATAGTTTTCTTCCTTCCCCTCTACACTAAAGGGCCTCCAGTTGTTTCCCTTGACACATCACTACCACAGATAAGACCTGAGGATAGATATAAATAGCTTTTCATCTTATGGACTGGTGCATTGTGTGACAAAGTTCCTTACATCGGCGTGTCTTGTTCCGCGTGATGGCCAGGAGGTCTCACCACTGCAAAACCATTCTGAAATATCAGGAGGAAAAACACTTAGAATTATATTTCTTTTAGTTTAGTTTTAGTAAGAGTTTTATGGCACTTGCAACACAATAAGGTCATATAAGTGCCGAAGATTAGAGGTGTTACAAGAGAGTAACATACACAAAAAAGAAGGAGGGGAGATAGAGATGATATATTTTTTTAATAGGAAAGAAGGAGCCAACCACCCACTCTGACACAAGACTCAAACTCTCACCGTGTCATACAATGGCAAAACACTTAACTTTATCTGAATGCCCTGGGGTCATTTTGTACCCTTAGGGTTGTTTTCTTCACATTTTAGAATACTTGTAGTACAAAGATCTCTCTGAAACATTCAGTATTTCTCAAAAAAATCATTTTGACAGACCGCTACACAAAGCGAATGGATCAGATTAACGAGTAAACTTCCTCTTTGGAAAGTGGTGGCACAGAGTTCCCCACGTTGTACGGATACGATAGTAAAACACGACGTACGGATAGGGTCAACCATCGCCACATGTGCTGGCAGTAGAATAAAATGTTAACTACTGAAAGACAGGGTGTGTGTGCATGTGTGGTGTGTGTGTGTGCCTGTGTGTGTGTGTGTAATTGAGCAAAATAAAACCCTAACTAATTACCTTGAGGTCTCCTGCAGCAACTCGGCAGGCCAGCTCAATGACACATCCAGCAGCCTGATGAAAGGACAATCAGCAATATATACACTTTGGACACTGAGTTGGTGAAACGACAGTCACCCTCATAAAACACAATTGTGAGCCGTGCTGACAAAATGAGTTACTTCTCGCAGTCCACAAAAGGAGACATTGGCCAAAAATTGACACTCGGGTCAAATTTATAGATTGTTCTATTGATGCCACATTCTGTAAGTATAACATACCTTTTATTATTTCATACTTATATATTGTACAAACTTCACCTATAAGTGTGATGTATCTATTTCCTTAAGGCCTGAATCCGAGAAGTACTCATTTTGTCACCACGCTTCACAATTGCTCTCATCAACAAAGTCACTCTTATGAAACACAACAGCTCTCATTTACACAAGAGATCTTAAAACAAAACCTTTGAACAATCTATTTTACAACCAAAAAAATTCATTTATTTATTTCACAATCTTCGATCGAAAATGTACTCACGGTGCGGGCCGCTGTTGAGGTATACAGTTCATTCCACACGGTGTCCGAGTCGACGCCAATGCCTCCACAGTAGAGTAAACAAAACTTCTTGGACGAGCTTTCTGCATGACGAAACAAAAGAAATAAACAATGTTTCATTTCATTCGGGGGAGAAAAAAAAAATTCTATTATCAAGTGCAAGCAAAGTATCAGACAAAGCAAAAGTAAAATGATGAATACGCAAACCAACACCTTGGGAAAAAAATAGAAACAACCAAACTCTTTTGTATTTATTATAGTAGAGGGTTTTACGGCACTCGCAAGTGCATAAGGTCATATAAGCGTCAAGGGGTGGGTGTCAACAGAGAAGTCTTTACAGGGAATCAGACTTAGACTGCTCACCTCTCTAGTTTCAACAGCACAAGGTCTGCTTTAACTATCAAGGCACCCCGGAAATAGCAGGTCACAAGAGAGTGACAAACATACAAAAGAAGTAGAGGAAAATGACAATAGTAAGGATTAGGAAAGAAAAAGCAGCAGTTCCCTGTTGTAGATCAGGCACAGTTATGAGCGTGACATGAATCAGCCCATTTTCTACTGCACTTGAACTAGAAATGTCCCCCCTTTGGGAATGGCCGAAAGACACTACAGTCAGTGGCACTGCCCCGGGGGGTTACCAAACTCTTGCACTACTGTATTTACCATCACCAATACAAGTACTATCGTAACAATAACCAAACAACAGAAAATGAAAAGAAAATCTTAAGAAGTATGAATTATCAAACCAAGAAATAAATGGTGAGACGCATTGTTCTCCCAGACACCCACCCCACCCCCTTAAAAAAATCTTTTAACTCTCTGCCGACACATATGTCCGATCAGCACATTATTTCCACCCATTATACACAATTCCGAAACACGAATTTGCATTTTTGGCAGCAAATGCATTGTTTGCCAGCCGTCAACAAAACCAGACGGGACATGGTCAGAAACAACAAGATCAGAGAAATGGAGGGAGCAACACCTGTCCTCCACTACATTCCAAGGTAAACAATCAGGTGGTTTGGACATCTCACATGTATGGCACCTAACCAGCTTGCCAGTAAAGTCTACTACAGGAAAGTATCAAGGTACAAGGCAAGAGGAAGACCAAGAAAGACCTGGATCCAGGGTGTGAAGGATACCCTAAGAACATTCAATATCCCACCCAGCCAGGCCATCAAACTTGCTAGAGACAGGGAGCTCTTTCTCCCCTCAACGCCCTAGAGGTACAAGAGGACAGAGAAAGTAAAGTAAGTATTTTTCGACTGACAGACATGTTAGTTAAGTTTTAGTAGGAGTTTTACAGCACTAGCAACACAATAAGGTCATATAGGTGCCGAAGACTAGAGGTGCTACAAAAGAGTAACAAACAGAAAAAAGAAGAAGGGGAGATAAGGACGACAGATGTTTGACAGAACAGAAGAAGCAAACCACACCAGAGCACCCGCCAACCACCCACACAGACATGTTACAACTAGCAGGGGAAAGGACTTACCAAAAAGCTTCTGTCTGTTGTAGGGATTGCCTCCAAATATGAGGGAGTACTGCTCCGAGTGGCAGCTCTGTAGCTCTTCCACTGTGGCTTTCTTTGTTCGTATTTTCTGTGAATACATAACACCAGACAATGTGAACACATAACACCAGACAATGTGAACACATAACACCAGACAATGTGAACACATAACACCAGACAATGTGAACACATAACACCAGACAATGTGAACACATAACACCAGACAATGTGAACACATAACACCAGACAATGTGAACACATTGTGTTGCAAGTGTCATAAAACACTTACTAAAACTAAAAAGAGAAATGCATGTCAATGAAAAAATTTGGGACCTGAAATGAAAAAACATTCGCTGTGTGCATTTTTCAGATGTATGTATATGTTCGCTATCCGAACGCTAACCTGTAGGCTACATGCATTTGTTATTTCTGCCATTATTCTCAACTTGCCGAAAACCTTTCTCATCACTACATGGCATTGGACAGGAGGGCGAGAGCCCAGATGTTGCTGGATCAATAACAGCAACCAAAAAACTTTACACAATATAAACCAACCAACTTTTACTTTACTGTTATCCGCCGCTTATACCCTTTTGGGGGTCGCGGGAAAAAAGAGACATCTAAAAAAAACTAATGGAAGAAAGAAACCAACCAACAAACCCAAAAAAACAAATACACACACACAACAACAACAACAGCAGCAGCAACAACAACACCAACACCATCAGCATCACCACCATCACAACTAACAACAACAACAACAACAACACCAACTACAACAACACCACCAACAACAACAACAACAACACCACCAACAACCACAACAACCACAACAACCACAACAACCACAACAACACCACCAACAACAACAACATCAACAACACCACCACCACCACCACCAACAACAACAACAACTACAACAACCACAACAACACAACCACCACCAACAACAACATCACCCCCACCAACACCACCACCAACAACAACAACACCAACAACACCACCACCAACAACAACAACAACACCAACAACACCACCAACCACCAGTTTACCTCACAGCGACCCTCCAGCCCTGTCTCAGTCAACCTGTTCCAAATGCTGTGTATGCGTCCTGCATGCTCCAGGTGGTTGTTATGATCATTGCACGTGCACCTGTGGTTCAGCATAGCCGAGTCGTATGCCAAGCCTGCAACCACAACCAAAGAAAGGTTGCAAATAAATTATTTTTAGCAACAGACATATTTTTTTTAAAAATCCAAAACGGTTCAAATACATTTCACAGCTCTTAAATCCAATTGAATCTCGAGGCTTAGTTTTAGAGGGTGTTTTGGTTTTTTGTTTTAGTAAGAGTTTTACGACGCTCACAACTGCATACGGTCATATGAGAGCGCGACAAAAAGAGTAAGTGTTTTACAGCACTTGAAACACAATAAGGTCATATAAGTGCCAAAGATTAGAGGTGTTACAAGAGAGTAACAAACACAAAAAAAGAATGAGGAAAGATAAGGATGATAGATGTTTGATAGGAAAGAAGAAACAATTTGGAGGCTGAGTTCCCTGATTTCAGAGAAAATGAAAAACAAGTCACCATGAAAAAAAAAATGCAATACAAAACTTAAGTCAGAAAATAACCGTGTAAAAATCTTAAATTGGTTTTCAGATCAAACTCGGAATAAAAAGTTTTTACAGAAACCAAACATGATTATTTCTCCAAAGTAAAATCATATCTCAAAGACGAGCAACAAAATTTTAATGTTTGTTAATCTTTTCTAAAAAATAATTCCTTATCATACCCATGCCCACTGAGCTCCTGGGTGCCCTTTCATCATTTTAACCCTATCAGTACGCCCTTGGGTCATTTTGTACCCCCGGGGTTGTATTCTTCACAATTTAGAATACTTCTTGAGCGAAGATCTCTTTGAAACTTTCAGTATTTCTCAAAAAATCATTTTGATAGACTGCTATTCAAAGCATACGGATCGGATTAACGAGTAAATTTCCTCTTTGGAAAGTGGTGGCACAGAGTTCCCCGCTTCGTATGGATACGATAGTAAAACACGAAGTACGGATAGAGTTAAAAAGTGTCTAAAAAGCTCCAATGAACGGTGTTGGGACAGACTTTTCTTCCTTTTTTCAGGACAGCTGCTCCTTGCCCTGACCTCAAAAGTCCCATTACAATCAACTACAGGGGAAAAAAGTATGGGTGACTGGTCCACATATAACAACTAAATGACTGTCGAAAAGAACTCCTGTCATCTGGCAGAGCAACTTATTTCAAGAAAATTAAAATAATGATAGAAAACAGTACTCATAGAGCGCCCATTCACACTCAACAGCAAACTCTATGAGCATCACAGCCGCCAGATGACCGATCTGTCAGCCATTGAAGGGCTGGTCAGTAACATGTAAATTACACCCACCCCCGTAGTAGTTCAGGCACAGATATGAGCAAGACATTGTTGAATCAGCCCATTTAAATTATACTGTGCGTAAGAACGAGAAATGCCCCCCCCCCGGGAATGGCCTAAAGACACTTTTTCAGCCAGTGGCACCGTTTTACGGCACTTGCAACACAATAAATTCATATAAGTGCAGAAGATTAGAAGTGTTACAAGAGAGTAACGTACACAAAAAAGGAGAGAACAGGATGATAGATTTTTTATACGAAAGAAGAGCATCTGCCACCCACACTCATACAGGACGAATCGACTCACCGGTGGTAAAAGTATAGGTGACTGGCCCGGTATCCTGCGCGGACTGCGGGGGCATGGAGAAGGTGACCAGAGGGCTGGACTGTGTGCGAGACAGGGGTCTGTGGTGCGAGGGCCCGCGGTGCCGGGCGCGGCCCGCCTCTCTGTGCGGGCTCAACAAGGCCTGTGTGTTCTGCGAGCTCTCGCGCTCCGACAGCTGAGGCGGCTGCTGCTCTGAGAGGCCGGTCACTTCGGGGGCTGGGGGAGACTCGCTGGGGCCCGACACGGGGGCTTCTTCCATCTTCCCCTCCAGGCTCTCCGCCTCACGACACTCCTTCATCTCCTACGATGTGAACAAAGTAGTAATATCAGATTAATTTAAGTAAGAGTTTTACGGCACTTGCAACACAATAAGGTCACAGAAGAGCTGAAGATTAGAGGTGTTACAAGAGAGTAACAAACATAAAAAAGAAGGAGGAGAGTTAGTTTTGGTAGAGGTTTTACGGCGCTCGCAACTGCACAAGGTCATATGAGCGCCAGAAGATTAGAGGTGTTACAAGAAAGCAACAAACATAAAAAAGAAAAAGGGGAGATAAGGACGATAGATGGACAAAGTAGTAATATCCGATCAGTGAACACATTCTCTCTCACAGTGATAAAGATTACAGATTCTTACAATCTTTTCTCCGCCTCACGACACTCCTTCATCTCCTACAGCAACGACAAAGTAGTAATATCAGATCAGTGAACACATTCTCTCTCAGTGATAAAGATTACCGATTCTTACAATCTTTTCTCCGCCTCACGGCACTCCTTTCCTACAACGACAACAAATAGGGTTTTTTTTAGTTTTAGTAGAGGTTTTATGGCGCTCGCAACTGCATAAGGTCATATGAGCGCCAGAAGATTACAGGTGTTACAAGAGAGTAACAAACATAAAAAAGAAGTAGGGGAGATATAGACGATAGATGTTTCATAGGAAAGAAGAAGCAAACCACACCAGAGAACCCGCCAACCACCCACAGCAATTACCTGTGCTAATTTGACCTCTGTCTCTTCATCAACGTTCTCCATGTGACTCTTGCTCCCTGACCGTTGTAACACTGTTTGACGGATGTGCTGCAAAATAAACACGTATATAGAAACAACCATATAAGAGGGGGGAAAAAATAATAATCTTCGTTACCAATAGTTAAAACAAATTCCTTTTAACAGAATGATTTAGGAACATATTAAATGTTTAATAAAATCTGTTTGACGTAAAGCTTCTGATTTTTGATATACTGGTCATTTCTTCCCTCGTACACACACACACATGCACACATACACAAACACATACACACACATACACAACAACACCATCATTATTCATTTAAGGCCAAGTCACCTGTTTGACGTAAAGCTTCTGATCTTTGATATACTGGTCATTACTTCCCTCGCGTGGCGCGCACGCACACGCACACGCACACGCACACGCACACGCACACACACACACACACACACACACAACGACACCATCAATAAAATTTCCCCTTGTCACCTGTTTGACGTAAAGCTTCTGATCTTTGATATACTGGTCGTGTTGCTGCTGCAGAAGTAGATTTTGCTGTTGGAACACACCCAGTGGTAGGGGGGCTGAGTGGGTGCGCCCCAGTGGTCTGTGTCTGCGCCAATGAGAGAAGGGGAAAAAACAACAACGGGTTAGTTTTAGTTTTAGTAAGTGTTTTACGGCACTTGCAACACAATACCGTCATATAAGTGGGGAAGATTAGAGGTGTTACAAGAGAGTAACAAACATAAAAAAGAAGTAGGAGAGATATTTGTTTTAGTACAGATTTTACGGCGCTTGCAACTGCATAAGGTCATATGAGCTCCACAAGCCTAGAGGTGTTACAAGAGAGTAACAAACATAAAAAAGAAATAGGAGAGATCAGGATGATAGATGTTTGATAGGAAAGAAGGAGCAAACCACACCAGAGGACCCGCCAACCACACACAGTGAAGAGTTTTACGGTGCTCGCAACTGCATAAGAATTCCTGTAAGTCTGTCCCCGCAGTTTTGTGCAAAAAAATTATGAAATTAAGCACAAAGAGCCCAAAGATGTGAAATTATGCTATTCTGTTAATTTGAACAAAGAACAGTAAAGGAAAATAATCAGAAATTATGCACACAACAAAATGATTAAATTTTGCTAAATTATGCGAGGTACATAAACCCCGGGGACAGGCAGTAAGTAGAAGAGATCGGGG